ATATATTAGTGACATGTTAGTCCCATATGAACCAGCCCGGACTCTGAGGAGCACAGGGACTGGACTCCTGTTAGTGCCCAGAGTCAGAACTAAACATGGGGAGGCTGCTTTTCAGATTCATGCTGCTAAAATCTGGAACAGTCTTCCTGAAGATGTGAGACAGGCCTCCTCTCTGACAATGTTTAAAACCAGGTTAAAGACAGTTCTGTTTAGCTGTGCTACAACTGAGGGATTTTATATTTTTAGCTTTCTTTTTAATGTTCTGTGATTATTTATGATTTTAATGCTATCTTGTTTTGTTCAGCACTTTGAATTGCCTTGTGTATGAATTGTGCTATATAAATAAACTTGCCTTGCCTTTCTGTGTGTAATTGTGCCTGGGTGGGTTACCTCTGTGCTCTCCGGTTTCCCCCACTAAAACATGCCCCATAGGTATAATCCGCCAGAGAAAGTCCTGACAAAGCATCAACATCTGGAGAACACTGCTCCTGACATGTTTCCCTCCAGTAGCAGAGAAGGATGGGTCAAATGCAAAGAACTACGGGGATAATAAAGTACCCCGTAGCCTTACCTAGTTTAAAGAATTGTATAATTTCTTACATATGCAGATGTTAATTAATATGAATAGTTTTACAGTCTTTCACACGCGTATATATATTTGGGGCAAAGCATTATGGGAGCCCGTCCACTGTGCAGAACCGGGAGTGTTCCCTGCACTACTGAGCACAAGCCAGGTTTGAATACGACGCCATCTTGGATCGCCGGGGCTTGGCGCACGCAGACAAGAACCAAAACTTGGACATTTTTGAGAATCCAACCAAACTGAGCACGGGTTTTGAGCGTACTTGTTAGCAGGCCTGGCTTTGAGCGGCTGGATGGCAGTGAGATAAACCCAAACAAAGTTGACGGAGGCAGGCTTCAGCTTGGTCCACTTATTTTTATTTTCTGTTTTTCCTTTTTTTTAAAGTGACCAGTGCAGACAAAGAAAAGGGTGCAAAAATGCAAACCAAACCAACACAGTGGATGAAGGACAGGAGCATGTGTTCCCCAGCAGCAGGACCAATGGAATGGTAAAAATGGGCGCATTATATACTACTGGGTAAAACCAATTAAAACTCCAGGGGTATAGCATTAACATTAGCTTCTAAAAACTATGTTAAAACCCTCCATTAAAATACCAATAACCAGTTACAATAATAAAACACCCCCCTACAAAAATATACTCCTAAAACACCCTCCTACAAAAATATCTATACCAACTATGACTAAAAACAGTGCTAGATCCCCCCTCCACCAATTCATCGACTTGGTCCAGCCGAAACCATAAATGCCGGTGTTTGTGGCCCGGGGACCCTTTTGGCCCACGCACCTGGACACAAGACAGTGGTGAGTAAACACCTTTTTAAAATACATATCACAGCCACACTTATATCATTCACCCACTAAAACCACACATCACACACACCCGAACCCATACCAAACACAACTAACTCAAACACCACATATATTGCACAAAGCCCCACTCAAACTGTTTTGTTTGTCTCCGCAGACCGGACTCTGGACAACCCAAGCCCTCAATAAATGTCTTTCTACCCAACAGTTGTGTGCAATTTATTATATGTGCCAATTAGCATGTGACAATATGTGTACAGTGCAATTTAAAGTGTGATGTGACATTTAAAAGGTAAATTCATAAAGTGCAGTGCGATATTACCCGTAAAGAACAGCTGTTCTTTACATTTCCCCCTCCCTCTCCGAAGGCGAAGCCTCATCCTCAGCACTCCGTGACAGACAGTCCGCGACCACGTTTGACTTGCCGGGCCGGTATTGGACGGTGAAGTTGTAAGGCTGCAGGGAGAGATACCATCCCGTGATACGGTTGTTGGCGTTCCTCATCTTGTGTAGCCACTGGAGGGCGCGATGATCTGTCTCCAGTATGAAGTGACGTCCAAGCAGATAGTATCTTAGAGACTCAACAGCCCATTTTACCCCCAAGCACTCTTTTTCCACGGTTGAGTACCTGGTTTCCCGATCCAAAAGCTTGCGACTTAAAAAGACAACCGGCCTTCTTTCCCCCTCCATCTCTTGGATTAGGACTGCCCCGAGCCCGGTCTGAGAGGCGTCCGTCTGGAGGATGAATGGCTGGCTGAAGTCAGGGCTTTGGAGGACTGGCTCTGTACAAATGGCCTCCTTCAGGTCATTGAATGCCCGCTCACACTCAGATGTCCAGCGCACCTTATTTGGCTCCTCATTCTTGGTCAGGTTTGTTAAGACTGCCGTTCTTTCTGAAAAATGTGGCACAAATTTCCTGTACCAACCGACTAGTCCCACAAATCCTCTCACCTTCCTTTTGGTGGTGGGAACTGGAAACGAGCGTATCGCCTCCATCTTCTCCACCTGGGGCTTAATCTTCCCGAAGCCGATAGTAAATCCGAGGTACTGTACTTCCCTGTGGGCCACCGAACCTTTTCTGGGGTTGATTGTGAGCCCAGCTTCTCTTATCCTCTGAAGAACTTCCTGGAGGTGGTTCAGGTGTTCTTTCCAGGAACTACTGAACACTACCACATCATCCAGATACGCAGCTGCGAACTCAGAGACGTCTCGCAGTATGCGGTCCATCAGGCGCTGAAACGTCGCTGGAGCCCCCTGCAAACCAAATGGCATTACCCTGAATTGGAACATACCAAATGGTGTCCTGAAAGCGGTGAGTTCTTTTGCTTCAGGGGCCAGCGCCAGTTGCCAATAACCCTTGCTGAGGTCCAGTGTTGTGATATAAGCTGCAGATCCAACCCTCTCCAACAAGTCGTCGATTCGAGGCATCGGATATGGATCGAAGTTGGATATGGCGTTGATGTATCTGAAATCAATACAGAACCGCAAAGATTCGTCCTTTTTAGGCACTAGTACGATCGGGCTGCACCACTCGCTACTGGAAACTTCAATTATTCCCAGCTCCAGCATAAACCTTATCTCTTTTTGCAGTACCGGGACCAACCGCTCCGGGATTCTGTAGCTCCTTTGGCGTACTGGGGCATCCTTCTTTAGCCGGATTTTGTGCTGGACTAAAGAGGTAAAGCCTGGGGTCTCCTGGAAAAGAGCTGGGTCCAACAGGGGCTGAACTTGTTCCTGCTGACAGGGAGAGAGGTGGGAGAGGTCAACAACAATCTGTTCATTGCTATGAGCTGGAAAGAACTTTTCTGTGGTCTCTTCGTCCTGCACTGCTCGGACCAATAGCTGCTGTGCAGGCTCTGGGCGAACGTGAAACTCTTTTAAAAGGTTCACATGAAACACTTGATGTTTCTTTTTCCTGTCAGGCATGTGTAGCTCATATGTGACTTTTCCAACTTGTTTTGTGACTTCATATGGCCCGTGCCATTTAGCTAAGAGTTTGTTTTCAGTGGTTGGTAACAACAACAGTACCTTTTGCCCTGGGCTGAAGACTCTCTGCTTAGCTTTTTGATCATACCAGGTTTTCTGTTTGTGTTGCGCCTCCTTCAGGTTCTCCTGCGACAGTGTTGACATACCCTCCAGTCTTTCCCGCATCTTTATGACGAAAGATACAATGTTGTCCCCTTCCGTCTCCGTGCGCTCCCAGTAGTCCTTGAGCAGATCCAGAGGTCCGCGCACCTGGTGTCCATATAAGAGTTCAAAGGGGGAGAAACCGGTGGATGCCTGTGGGACTTCTCTGTAGGCAAAGAGAAGATAAGGCAGCCACTGGTCCCAGTCAGCCCCTGTGCTGGAAACAACCTTGCGCAACATGTGTTTTAAAGTCTTGTTATAGCGCTCCACCAGCCCATCCGTTTGGGGGTGATAAGGTGTGGTCCTGATCCCCTTAACCCCCAACAGCTGGTAAACTTGCTTCAACAGTTTAGACATAAAATTGGTACCACAATCAGTCAGAATTTCTTTTGCCACACCTACCCTGGAAAATAGCTGCAAAAGACAATTTGCAATTTGCTTAGCTTTGATTGAGCGCAATGGAAACGCTTCTGGGTATCTTGTGGCATAGTCACACAGGACCAAAATGAAACGGTTACCTGAGGAACTTTCCTCCAAAGGACCAACAATGTCCATTCCAATTCGCTCAAATGGGGTACCAATAATGGGCAGCGGCTGCAAGTGGGCGTGACCAACCCCTTTTCCTGCCGTCAATTGACATTTCTCACAGCTTTTGCAGAAATTTGATATCTGGGTATACATGCCAGGCCAGGCAAAACGACTGCCGATTCTGCGCAGTGTTCTCTGAAAAGCCATATGACCGGCCCAGGGAATGGAGTGGCCCAGTTCCATTACCTGCTGTCTAAACTGATGAGGCAAGGCAATAGCTTCACTTTTCCCATTAACCTGATACAAGATACCATTTTTAATCCTGTACTCTGTCTCATCCAACCTTTTTATCCCCCTCTGCTGATTAGACACATTTTCAAACCAGGATTTTAGGGATATGTCCCGTTTCTGGAGTGTCCCTATGTCTGAGGGTATCCCAAATTCAACTGGGCTAAGTGGTTTTGGCAACTGTGTGTCCTCCCTGGGAGAGCCTGCAAACTTTTCTTGCCTTTTCTGCGCTTTGGGTTTCCTACTCTTTCCTGGCAAAGCTTCAAGTTCTTCCTCCCAAAAAGGAAGCTCCTCCAGAATAGCTTTTGCTTTCTGTGCTCTTGTAAGGACATTAACCGAGTTAACTGACTCAGAGAGTTCCTCAGTTACCTGTGACATGAGATCAAGTAAAGTTGGAATGTCATTTCCTAGGATGACCTCATATGGTAAGTTTTCTGCTAAGGCAACCTTTAACAGGTAAGTTTGACCTCCTACTGTTGCATAGACCTCAGCTGTTGGGTAAGTATGCTCATCTCCATGTATACAAGTAAGTGGTATGGTCTCCCTAGAGCGCCTTTCCTCTGGGACCAAACGCGACAGGATTATAGACTGAAAACAACCAGAGTCTAACAATGCACTAACTTTGTGGCCGTTAACTAGCACAGGTGTCGTGCGCCCCCTCTTCTCTAAAGTGGGTACCGTAGCCGGCCTAGGTACTGAACACAAAGAAAGCCCCCCCCCCCCCCCCCCCCCCCCCCCCCCCCCCCCCCCCCCCCCCCCCCCCCCCCCCCCCCCCCCCCCCCCCCCCCCCCCCCCCCCCCCCCCCCCCCCCCACCCCCCCCCCCCCCCCCCCCCCCCCCCCCCCCCCCCCCCCCCCCCCCCCCCCCCCCCCCCCCCCCCCCCCCCCCCCCCCCCCCCCCCCCCCCCCCCCCCCCCCCCCCCCCCCCCCCCCCCCCCCCCCCCCCCCCCCCCCCCCCCCCCCCCCCCCCCCCCCCCCCCCCCCCCCCCCCCCCCCCCCCCCCCCCCCCCCCCCCCCCCCCCCCCCCCCCCCCCCCCCCCCCCCCCCCCCCCCCCCCCCCCCCCCCCCCCCCCCCCCCCCCCCCCCCCCCCCCCCCCCCCCCCCCCCCCCCCCCCCCCCCCCCCCCCCCCCCCCCCCCCCCCCCCCCCCCCCCCCCCCCCCCCCCCCCCCCCCCCCCCCCCCCCCCCCCCCCCCCCCCCCCCCCCCCCCCCCCCCCCCCCCCCCCCCCCCCCCCCCCCCCCCCCCCCCCCCCCCCCCCCCCCCCCCCCCCCCCCCCCCCCCCCCCCCCCCCCCCCCCCCCCCCCCCCCCCCCCCCCCCCCCCCCCCCCCCCCCCCCCCCCCCCCCCCCCCCCCCCCCCCCCCCCCCCCCCCCCCCCCCCCCCCCCCCCCCCCCCCCCCCCCCCCCCCCCCCCCCCCCCCCCCCCCCCCCCCCCCCCCCCCCCCCCCCCCCCCCCCCCCCCCCCCCCCCCCCCCCCCCCCCCCCCCCCCCCCCCCCCCCCCCCCCCCCCCCCCCCCCCCCCCCCCCCCCCCCCCCCCCCCCCCCCCCCCCCCCCCCCCCCCCCCCCCCCCCCCCCCCCCCCCCCCCCCCCCCCCCCCCCCCCCCCCCCCCCCCCCCCCCCCCCCCCCCCCCCCCCCCCCCCCCCCCCCCCCCCCCCCCCCCCCCCCCCCCCCCCCCCCCCCCCCCCCCCCCCCCCCCCCCCCCCCCCCCCCCCCCCCCCCCCCCCCCCCCCCCCCCCCCCCCCCCCCCCCCCCCCCCCCCCCCCCCCCCCCCCCCCCCCCCCCCCCCCCCCCCCCCCCCCCCCCCCCCCCCCCCCCCCCCCCCCCCCCCCCCCCCCCCCCCCCCCCCCCCCCCCCCCCCCCCCCCCCCCCCCCCCCCCCCCCCCCCCCCCCCCCCCCCCCCCCCCCCCCCCCCCCCCCCCCCCCCCCCCCCCCCCCCCCCCCCCCCCCCCCCCCCCCCCCCCCCCCCCCCCCCCCCCCCCCCCCCCCCCCCCCCCCCCCCCCCCCCCCCCCCCCCCCCCCCCCCCCCCCCCCCCCCCCCCCCCCCCCCCCCCCCCCCCCCCCCCCCCCCCCCCCCCCCCCCCCCCCCCCCCCCCCCCCCCCCCCCCCCCCCCCCCCCCCCCCCCCCCCCCCCCCCCCCCCCCCCCCCCCCCCCCCCCCCCCCCCCCCCCCCCCCCCCCCCCCCCCCCCCCCCCCCCCCCCCCCCCCCCCCCCCCCCCCCCCCCCCCCCCCCCCCCCCCCCCCCCCCCCCCCCCCCCCCCCCCCCCCCCCCCCCCCCCCCCCCCCCCCCCCCCCCCCCCCCCCCCCCCCCCCCCCCCCCCCCCCCCCCCCCCCCCCCCCCCCCCCCCCCCCCCCCCCCCCCCCCCCCCCCCCCCCCCCCCCCCCCCCCCCCCCCCCCCCCCCCCCCCCCCCCCCCCCCCCCCCCCCCCCCCCCCCCCCCCCCCCCCCCCCCCCCCCCCCCCCCCCCCCCCCCCCCCCCCCCCCCCCCCCCCCCCCCCCCCCCCCCCCCCCCCCCCCCCCCCCCCCCCCCCCCCCCCCCCCCCCCCCCCCCCCCCCCCCCCCCCCCCCCCCCCCCCCCCCCCCCCCCCCCCCCCCCCCCCCCCCCCCCCCCCCCCCCCCCCCCCCCCCCCCCCCCCCCCCCCCCCCCCCCCCCCCCCCCCCCCCCCCCCCCCCCCCCCCCCCCCCCCCCCCCCCCCCCCCCCCCCCCCCCCCCCCCCCCCCCCCCCCCCCCCCCCCCCCCCCCCCCCCCCCCCCCCCCCCCCCCCCCCCCCCCCCCCCCCCCCCCCCCCCCCCCCCCCCCCCCCCCCCCCCCCCCCCCCCCCCCCCCCCCCCCCCCCCCCCCCCCCCCCCCCCCCCCCCCCCCCCCCCCCCCCCCCCCCCCCCCCCCCCCCCCCCCCCCCCCCCCCCCCCCCCCCCCCCCCCCCCCCCCCCCCCCCCCCCCCCCCCCCCCCCCCCCCCCCCCCCCCCCCCCCCCCCCCCCCCCCCCCCCCCCCCCCCCCCCCCCCCCCCCCCCCCCCCCCCCCCCCCCCCCCCCCCCCCCCCCCCCCCCCCCCCCCCCCCCCCCCCCCCCCCCCCCCCCCCCCCCCCCCCCCCCCCCCCCCCCCCCCCCCCCCCCCCCCCCCCCCCCCCCCCCCCCCCCCCCCCCCCCCCCCCCCCCCCCCCCCCCCCCCCCCCCCCCCCCCCCCCCCCCCCCCCCCCCCCCCCCCCCCCCCCCCCCCCCCCCCCCCCCCCCCCCCCCCCCCCCCCCCCCCCCCCCCCCCCCCCCCCCCCCCCCCCCCCCCCCCCCCCCCCCCCCCCCCCCCCCCCCCCCCCCCCCCCCCCCCCCCCCCCCCCCCCCCCCCCCCCCCCCCCCCCCCCCCCCCCCCCCCCCCCCCCCCCCCCCCCCCCCCCCCCCCCCCCCCCCCCCCCCCCCCCCCCCCCCCCCCCCCCCCCCCCCCCCCCCCCCCCCCCCCCCCCCCCCCCCCCCCCCCCCCCCCCCCCCCCCCCCCCCCCCCCCCCCCCCCCCCCCCCCCCCCCCCCCCCCCCCCCCCCCCCCCCCCCCCCCCCCCCCCCCCCCCCCCCCCCCCCCCCCCCCCCCCCCCCCCCCCCCCCCCCCCCCCCCCCCCCCCCCCCCCCCCCCCCCCCCCCCCCCCCCCCCCCCCCCCCCCCCCCCCCCCCCCCCCCCCCCCCCCCCCCCCCCCCCCCCCCCCCCCCCCCCCCCCCCCCCCCCCCCCCCCCCCCCCCCCCCCCCCCCCCCCCCCCCCCCCCCCCCCCCCCCCCCCCCCCCCCCCCCCCCCCCCCCCCCCCCCCCCCCCCCCCCCCCCCCCCCCCCCCCCCCCCCCCCCCCCCCCCCCCCCCCCCCCCCCCCCCCCCCCCCCCCCCCCCCCCCCCCCCCCCCCCCCCCCCCCCCCCCCCCCCCCCCCCCCCCCCCCCCCCCCCCCCCCCCCCCCCCCCCCCCCCCCCCCCCCCCCCCCCCCCCCCCCCCCCCCCCCCCCCCCCCCCCCCCCCCCCCCCCCCCCCCCCCCCCCCCCCCCCCCCCCCCCCCCCCCCCCCCCCCCCCCCCCCCCCCCCCCCCCCCCCCCCCCCCCCCCCCCCCCCCCCCCCCCCCCCCCCCCCCCCCCCCCCCCCCCCCCCCCCCCCCCCCCCCCCCCCCCCCCCCCCCCCCCCCCCCCCCCCCCCCCCCCCCCCCCCCCCCCCCCCCCCCCCCCCCCCCCCCCCCCCCCCCCCCCCCCCCCCCCCCCCCCCCCCCCCCCCCCCCCCCCCCCCCCCCCCCCCCCCCCCCCCCCCCCCCCCCCCCCCCCCCCCCCCCCCCCCCCCCCCCCCCCCCCCCCCCCCCCCCCCCCCCCCCCCCCCCCCCCCCCCCCCCCCCCCCCCCCCCCCCCCCCCCCCCCCCCCCCCCCCCCCCCCCCCCCCCCCCCCCCCCCCCCCCCCCCCCCCCCCCCCCCCCCCCCCCCCCCCCCCCCCCCCCCCCCCCCCCCCCCCCCCCCCCCCCCCCCCCCCCCCCCCCCCCCCCCCCCCCCCCCCCCCCCCCCCCCCCCCCCCCCCCCCCCCCCCCCCCCCCCCCCCCCCCCCCCCCCCCCCCCCCCCCCCCCCCCCCCCCCCCCCCCCCCCCCCCCCCCCCCCCCCCCCCCCCCCCCCCCCCCCCCCCCCCCCCCCCCCCCCCCCCCCCCCCCCCCCCCCCCCCCCCCCCCCCCCCCCCCCCCCCCCCCCCCCCCCCCCCCCCCCCCCCCCCCCCCCCCCCCCCCCCCCCCCCCCCCCCCCCCCCCCCCCCCCCCCCCCCCCCCCCCCCCCCCCCCCCCCCCCCCCCCCCCCCCCCCCCCCCCCCCCCCCCCCCCCCCCCCCCCCCCCCCCCCCCCCCCCCCCCCCCCCCCCCCCCCCCCCCCCCCCCCCCCCCCCCCCCCCCCCCCCCCCCCCCCCCCCCCCCCCCCCCCCCCCCCCCCCCCCCCCCCCCCCCCCCCCCCCCCCCCCCCCCCCCCCCCCCCCCCCCCCCCCCCCCCCCCCCCCCCCCCCCCCCCCCCCCCCCCCCCCCCCCCCCCCCCCCCCCCCCCCCCCCCCCCCCCCCCCCCCCCCCCCCCCCCCCCCCCCCCCCCCCCCCCCCCCCCCCCCCCCCCCCCCCCCCCCCCCCCCCCCCCCCCCCCCCCCCCCCCCCCCCCCCCCCCCCCCCCCCCCCCCCCCCCCCCCCCCCCCCCCCAGTCAGAAGTCGAGGCTCACAGTTAAAAATACACCACAAATCTTTGCTTTTTAGGGGTTTCTGGGAATTTCTATTGAGACAATATGGATCTGGAGGCATAGTTTACATGTAATCAGTATGTTACACACTCTTCATCAGCTGGTATTTGTTTGTATAGATCTCTATGAACTGTTCACCACTGACTCACAGCTCCTGAGTCGCGGCTCAGGAGCTGTGAGTCGCGGCTTAGCAGTCAGAAGTCATAGCTCACGGTTAAAAATACCACAAATCTGTGCTTTTTAGGGGTATCTGGGAATTATTAGGGGCAACAGTGACTCAATTGGCAGAGCTTTGGTCTTTGGACCTAATGATCGTGGGGTCGTGCCCCCACAACCCCACCTGCTCCCACTGAAGCAAGACGCCCCATCGTGGTATCTTATATACAGTCATGGGACCTCATGAATGAGTATGAGCACAAGTATGTGGAAACGGCACAAGTATGTGGAAACGGCACAATACTAATATTGGTATTGGTGCATCCTTAGTAAAATAAACAGACTCAGTATTAGCAGCGCAGGTTTACAGTCATAGTGCAAGTGGTTGATTAAGTGATACAGGCCTAAATACAGATTATTACATGTATTTGCAGGGCTTATTTCATATTCTAATGAAAAAGACTTTTTAGGAGTATTTATGAATTATTAATGTATCTGGATGAACATTTTCCATGTCCTCAGTGCCTCATACATACTTTACCAGCTGATATGTGTTTATATTACTCTATTGTTAACAAGTGACTTACGAGACATAAGTCAGGACTCGTCTGCTGACACCAGGGGGCGCTGTCTAATCTCATGTTGAATCATGCACGACGTTGGACATCTCGCTTGCAATTTAAATTTCACCAAAATATTGAGGTAGGTTATTTTGTTTCGTTTTTTGGAATCTGTCTTTTAATCATTTTAACATTTTAAAGGGCATGACATTTAAACAGGAAAAAAAAAAAAAACTTGTGTAAAATTCCTTGGTTGTAATTCTGTGGCTTCAAAGAATACACAAAACTTGCAGATACAGAGCAGAGTGTATACTCCATAGGACAAAAGATGAGGCAAGGTGTATAACACAGGTTTGGTCACATAAGAAATAAATAACTAAAAAACCACTGAGACATTATTATTTGTTATTTATTAATAATGCTAAAGGCATTTGAAAAAATACATACAATACACAAACAAACACAATTATAAAAGCCACTTGTACCAATTTGTCCTTATAGTAATATAATGTGGATGACAAAGTGAGCCAAGAACCCAGAGTAGAGATTTCTTTGTCTTTGAACAAACACAAGCATCAGGGCATTTCATTTCAGGGCATTTTTAATTCTAAAAAAAATGATTATTGTTAACTTTAGAGGATAGTGTGCTGAGGTGGACTTACTATTGTAAATAGAGAATTAAAGAGAAAGACCCTAATGACATAATTTTATATGATCATGTTACCGAACCCAGATGTTCAAAATACAGAATTCAAGTAACTTCTGTTGTGGTGAAATGTTTGAAGATGCTTATTTGAGCCTTTGGTGGCCCAGTGGCTGTATGACTGCTGCATGGCACCTGTACTTTCCCTCATAACTGCCCGTGATCATCCTGAATCAAATGTTTTAGGGTTTCCAAAAAGTGTAGCTCCCTTATACCCTTTAAACATCTGATCCTGGAGCATTATACAGGATACAAATGCAGTGGAAATACAGGTGTCATGCTGCAGCCATCAAGACATGTTTTTCTCCTTAATGCCTCTTTTCTCTCATTTCTTTTCTATGCAAAAATTAAGTGTAGTTAACCGGTTATTCTTGAATTACAGAACTACTGAGACGACACATCAAGATGAGCCACACACAGAAGAGAAGGAAAACAAACTTTATAAAAAAATGCACAACGTAATTCACTTTAATAGACCAATTATAAAGAATAAAGATTTGGTTTAGGTTTGATACATTTCAGTTTTGCACTTGGCTGTAGCTAATACATTTGCACACATTGCACTATAACATGAACATTTGTTTCCACATGAGCTGTTACTTTGTCTCCCAATACAGGAAACATATACAGCTCAGTCATGAATAGCAGCAGAGTGGTGCCGCACATCACTGGAAGGACATGTTGAGCTACGTGCTAATGTATAGAATAAGCCCACACCTGTTCAAAAAGGTGTTGCTGCGGGTTCGAAGTAGTCATTCTGCGGCCTGCAGGACAGAGGCGTGTCGTGAAGTAGGCGTGTAAACTATGCCTCCAGATCCATATAGTCTCATTAGAAATTCCCAGATACCCCTAAAAAGCAAAAATATGCTGTATTTTAACTGTGAGCCACGACTCACAGCTCCTGAGCCGCGACTCACAGCTCCTGAGCCGCGACTCACAGCTCCTGAGCCGCGACTCACAGCTCCTGAGCCGCGACTCACAGCTCCTGAGCCGCGACTCACAGCTCCTGAGCCGCGACTCACAGCTCCTGAGCCGCGACTCACAGCTCCTGAGCCGCGACTCACAGCTCCTGAGCCGCGACTCACAGCTCCTGAGCCGCGACTCACAGCTCCTGAGCCGCGACTCACAGCTCCTGAGCCGCGACTCACAGCTCCTGAGTCAGTGGTTAACGAACATGGAGAGCTATATAAACACATACCAGATGATGAAGAGTGTGTAACATACTGGTTACTTGTAAATATATGCCTCCAGATCCACAATGTGTCATTGATAATCAACAGATACCCCTAAAAAGCTAAATTGATAACCGTGAGCCACAACTTCTGGCTGCTGAGTCGCGGCTCACAGCGCCTGAGTCACGCGAGTCACCGGAAGTTGCCGTGAGTCGCAAATAGTGCTTGCCCTTTCTGGTTTCTAGCGCGTCTGGCAAATAAACTTTTGTCATTACCTCGAAGCTCGAACGCGGGGCTGCCACCAGTCAAACCAACAGCAAGCTTTGATATTTATAAACCATACCTCAATGCGAAGGATGGTTGTAAATTGGGGAAAAGGTTTTTGGGTGTTGTTTTGGGGGGAAACTTTGAATCTTATGACGCACGGCGATGTGGACAGTGAACCACACCGGCACTAACCTTCTAGATACCAAACACTGCTTCTTAATAAAATGTGATATTGTTGTTTGTTTAGAGGGAAAACTGCCACTTACCTATGGGCACCGGACATGTCCCCGGCTTCGGGGGGGAAAAAAGGGAAGAATCGAAAAATAATCACAGTTTAAAACCCCGCTCAGTCAGTAAACAATCCTAGCGATGCGCAGTGAGACAAACTGATCCAAGTTTGATCCAGGACAGATCCACGCGCGCACGTGAGCAGTGGACGCGGCTGTAAACATGCGCTCCTTCCTCACGCTCTGTATGTGCGCATTTCCTTTCTCTGTCCGCGGAGTCTAAAAGTTATCTGCACGAATAAATGCTCCAACGCGCTTTTTAATCCAGAGGCGGTACGGTCCATCCTACATCTCCAACGCACCTCTCTCACCCGCAATGTCCCTCCCACAGAACTGCAGCGAACAAGTGACACAAGACTGTACTAACGCCTGTAGTGAGGGAGTACACACAGCCAGTGCTATATAGCTGCAGCGGTATCTAACTTTTTTATATATTTATACATGAAGAGTTAATTTGCAAAATCAGATATCTCCGTTTGGAAAATGTGTCAAAAAGTCGTATCATTCCTCTATTCCTACAATATGTTTTGTTATTGGAAATGGATTTGAAAGAATGTGTTTGCTTTCTTCTTTGTGAAGAGCAAAATGTAATCTTCAAGTATGTTTCAAATATGAACAAATTAGACAAAATCAATCACATGTTTATTTTTAAAGCGTCTGTAGCAAAAGCCCCACATGTGAGTCACTGTTTGAAACATTGGGCTGATTAGCTGAGTTATCTCTTTATCACTTCTCTTTGGACAGACTGATCTAAAGATCAAACTTACACACATTTGGAAATCTTCTGTTGAAAGTGAGGCTTTAAAAACTTATTGTAAAATTGTAAAAATACATGATTGGAGGAGGAGGGAAAGTGAAACTACTCCTACAAAAGCTTTCCATATTTTAAATTATAAACCACAAAAACAAGAACCGGTGCTTGTCCTGTAATGAAACACTAAAAGCACGACTAGAAAAATCAATGTCACGCCTGTAGTTTATAGTGCCGCGCACTGATATGAACACACAGGCGCGGATAGAGGGCGGAGCTATACTGGACTCATTGCAGTGAGTTCTGGGTCAGTGTCACTCCATACAGTCTATGGTCACTCCCGTATTCGTCCCGGAAACCGGATTCGTCCGGAAGTTCAGTTTTTGCTTGTCAAAAAGTTTAATATGTCCTTAAGTGGTGACTGGTTAAGTTTAGGCGTCTGATTAAGATGGTTAAGTTTAGGGTTAAGGCTGGTTTGGGGTTATTTTACGGGAATGGCTGGTTAAGTTTAGGCATGAATAGGTAGTTTTTTATATTTACTTCCGCTTCCGTCCAGATTCCGTGACGTAATCTACTGCTGCGTATGCTCATTGGATCAAACTGAACTTCCGGACGAATCCGGTTTCCGGGACTAATACGGGAGTGACAGTCAGCACTAGATCATATACGGAATCGGGACGGAAGCGGAAGTAAATACAACAAACTACCTATTTATGTCTAAACTTAACCAGCCATTCTCGTAAAATAACCCCAACCCAGCCTTAACCCTAACCTCAACCATCTTACTCAGACGCCTAAAACTTAACCAGTCAGCACTTAAGGACTTATTAGTCTAAAACTAATTCGAAAGTAGGATTGTTACGTCCAGTTTCGTCCCGATTCCGTATATGATCTAGTGCCGACCGCGAGTTCTGTGCAACACACATGGATGTATAATTGCTTGCTTGCAATTGACGTCACGTCCGCCTCATTACTTATGCGTATCACGAAGTGGTGGTCAGCCAAGCTAGTTGTTCACTAGAGCAGCGTGTCTGAATATGCCTTTTGCTTGTGTTGTTTTAAGTTTTCTTACCGATCGAATCGCAAAACCTTTAATGGATAATTTAGGATTCCTCGTGAAGAGATTAATAAAGAGCCTCGCACTAAGGACTTTACGAAAAGACGCAGGAAAAGTGACTCGATAACATTTCACTAGCAAACGCTTTTACCTTGAAGGATTGTTTATTTACCCAGCCATGCTTTCACAATGCTCAGTTATTACATCCCCATCTTTATTTAATGAATTGTCAGGTATGAGTTGGCGTTTTGAATAAACACTGAATGTTTGACCTGAAAAGAACACAGCCACAGACGCATTGTTTTGTTGAGAATGACAAGTTCATACCAATCGTTACTTACACAGCTCTGTACGATGCAGGTCCTTCAGGACCTTAACTCTGAGTTCCTTAACCCACAGACAGACGGAAAAGTCTGTCTGTGGGTTTTTCCAAACCTTCATTTGTTTAGCAGTGCAAAAGCTCGATTGTGACACTAAATAGTGGATTAGAATCTAAAGTGAAGAAAATGACAGTCTAGGATCTTGTCTTTAATTCAGACAGAAGACATGTTTTATTGTTGAAGGTAGAGGCAGCATAAACAAAGACGTTACAGAATGTAAGTGACATACAGCGGAGGAAGGGAGACTTATTAGCATTAATTGGCATTATTAGCATTAGCCGCAGTGCCAGTAGCTTCAACTTTGATATTACCAAAACATGTAGTGGAAAAATTCTGCCCTGTGCATATTGTTAGAATGATGAGTTAGAACGTTAACCACAGTAGCTTCAAAGTGTCATGAAATATCCAAAAAAGCAAAAAAAAAAAATACTCGGAAGAGTCGTATTTTCTCCACATATCAGCAGCAACTCTTGCTGGCCTGACCACCACTTTGTCAACCGGAAGTTTATACGTCACGTGACTGCAAGCCATGAAGAATAGGTAACACAGCACTGTCGCCGGGCCTGCGTGCTCATATCAGTGCACGGTACGATATACTACATCCTCCCTTTTCTGCAAAACAAACCATGAGGTCTTTCTGTAAACTAGACCAATCAAACATGTAGGTTAAGGAACTTCTTTTACCTGTATGTTTGTTGACCAACTTCTGCTTGGTCAAGTTTAACACCTTCTGCTGGAATGACACGTCCCATATATTTAAGACTGCTCACCTTGTATTGGAGTTTTTCTTTGTTAAATTTGACATTAGCCTCTTTTGCTCTGGTTATCACTGTTAGCAGGCCTGGCTTTGAGCGGCTGGATGGCAGTGAGATAAACCCAAACAAAGTTGACGGAGGCAGGCTTCAGCTTGGTCCACTTATTTTTATTTTCTGTTTTTCCTTTTTTTTTAAAGTGACCAGTGCAGACAAAGAAAAGGGTGCAAAAATGCAAACCAAACCAACACAGTGGATGAAGGACAGGAGCATGTGTTCCCCAGCAGCAGGACAATGGAATGGTAAAAATGGGCGCCTTATATACTACTGGGTAAAACCAATTAAAACTCCAGGGGTATAGCATTAACATTAGCTTCTAAAAACTATGTTAAAACCCTCCATTAAAATACCAATAACCAGTTACAATAATAAAACACCCCCCTACAAAAATATACTCCTAAAACACCCTCCTACAAAAATATCTATACCAACTATGACTAAAAACAGTGCTAGATCCCCCCTCCACCAATTCATTGACTTGGTCCAGCCGGAACCATAAATGCCGGTGTTTGTGGCCCGGGGACCCTTTTGGCCCACGCACCCGTAAAGAACAGCTGTTCTTTACATTTCCCCCTCCCTCTCCGAAGGCGAAGCCTCATCCTCAGCACTCCGTGACAGACAGTCCGCGACCACGTTTGACTTGCCGGGCCGGTATTGGACGGTGAAGTTGTAAGGCTGCAGGGAGAGATACCATCCCGTGATACGGTTGTTGGCGTTCCTCATCTTGTGTAGCCACTGGAGGGCGCGATGATCTGTCTCCAGTATGAAGTGACGTCCAAGCAGATAGTATCTTAGAGACTCAACAGCCCATTTTACCCCCAAGCACTCTTTTTCCACGGTTGAGTACCTGGTTTCCCGATCCAAAAGCTTGCGACTTAAAAAGACAACCGGCCTTCTTTCCCCCTCCATCTCTTGGATTAGGACTGCCCCGAGCCCTGTCTGAGAGGCGTCCGTCTGGAGGATGAATGGCTGGCTGAAGTCAGGGCTTTGGAGGACTGGCTCTGCACAAATGGCCTCCTTCAGGTCATTGAATGCCCGCTCACACTCAGCTGTCCAGCGCACTTTATTTGGCTCCTCATTCTTGGTCAGGTTTGTTAAGACTGCCGTTCTTTCTGAAAAATGTGGCACAAATTTCCTGTACCAACCGACTAGTCCCACAAATCCTCTCACCTTCCTTTTGGTGGTGGGAACTGGAAACGAGCGTATCGCCTCCATCTTCTCCACCTGGGGCCTAATCTTCCCGAAGCCGATTGTAAATCCAAGGTACTGTACTTCCCTGTGGGCCACCGAACCTTTTCTGGGGTTGATTGTGAGCCCAGCTTCTCTTATCCTCTGAAGAACTTCCTGGAGGTGGTTCAGGTGTTCTTTCCAGGAACTACTGAACACTACCACATCATCCAGATACGCAGCTGCGAACTCAGAGACGTCTCGCAGTATGCGGTCCATCAGGCGCTGAAACGTCGCTGGAGCCCCCTGCAAACCAAATGGCATTACCCTGAATTGGAACATACCAAATGGTGTCCTGAAAGCGGTGAGTTCTTTTGCTTCAGGGGCCAGCGCCAGTTGCCAATAACCCTTGCTGAGGTCCAGTGTTGTGATATAAGCTGCAGATCCAACCCTCTCCAACAAGTCGTCGATTCGAGGCATCGGATATGGATCGCAGTTGGATATGGCGTTGATGTATCTGAAATCAATACAGAACCGCAAAGATTCGTCCTTTTTAGGCACTAGTACGATCGGGCTGCACCACTCGCTACTGGAAACTTCAATTATTCCCAGCTCCAGCATAAACCTTATCTCTTTTTGCAGTACCGGGACCAACCGCTCCGGGATTCTGTAGCTCCTTTGGCGTACTGGGGCATCCTTCTTTAGCCGGATTTTGTGCTGGACTAAAGAGGTAAAGCCTGGGGTCTCCTGGAAAAGAGCTGGGTCCAACAGGGGCTGAACTTGTTCCTGCTGACAGGGAGAGAGGTGGGAGAGGTCAACAACAATCTGT